GATTGAGCCCACAACCTGGGCATGTGACCTTTACCAGAATCGAACCTGGGACCCTTCAGTCTTCAGGCCGATGCTCTATCCACTGAGCCAAACCGGCCAGGGCTTAAATTTTCTTCTTAATTTATCTGTGTGTCCTAAGGCAGTGGTCGGCAAACTGTGGCTCACGAGCCACATGCGGCTCTTTGGTCCCTTGAGTGTGGCTCTTCCACAAAATACTGACTTCTGCACATGGGCCACGAAGTTTCAATCACACTGTATGTGCACGCCCGCACGTGATATTTTGTGGAAGAGCCACACCCAAGGGGCCAAAGAGCCGCATGTGGCTCGCAAGCCGCACTTTGCCGACCACTGTCCTAAGGGAAGGACAGGTTGATATTTTTAAATTTTGTGGATTGTCAGTTTACTTATCTGATACATATTTGGCAACTGTTATTAAAAGTTTATTATATAACATATTTAACTGAGTATATTTGTGCTTTATTATTCATACCTGGTAATGAATGATGCATTTGTAAAATTCAGTGTACTTTTCTAGAATACTGAGTTTTTAATAATGTAGTGATCATGATCTCAGCAAAAATGACTTAAAAATATAATTTTATCTTAATTTGTATTGAAAAAGTATGCTGTTTGTTAGCAGTTATTAACTCCTTTGTGAATTTGGGTATTAAAACCCACCACATGCTATCCACCTCAGCTCTGTCCTTCAGAGGAGGGGACAGAGGGTTAGAGTAGAATAGAACACTTAGAAAGAGAATTGGGAATCAGCACAGTCAATGAGAACAGGTTATGCCAAACTAAGGTGATTTCTTTGTTTTAGTGGAATGATTCTGGTTTTGGTAAGTTAGAAGAATGCTATAGCATGTGTTCATGATACCACCTTTTGCTTTATTAATAATGAGAGGAAGGCAGCTGTTTATTGGGAAAGCCCTTTCAATGCAGAGATCCCGATGCTTTCTCCTCTGTCATTAGAATCATGAACACAGTTATCTCGTGATGGGCTCAAGTCTTTATGTACTGTGTCCTATCTCAGTCAGAATTTCAGTTAAGACACAGAAAGCATGTCTGCGACTTTTTTTGATAAAATTGAAATTGAAATGACATTTTTGATCAGAAAGTCTAATCAAAGTCAGTGGATGAATTTTAAAAGCAGTAAATATAAAAACATTTGTGCTTAGATTCAAAGAGCATTACAAATAAATGGAGAGCTGATTTAATAGTCTACTAATTATAGACTTGGGGTTTTTCATTGATCAGCTCAGTTTGAGATGAAAATGTGGTTGCCTATTCAAACAACAAAAACTGACTGATGATTTCCAATACAGTTTTTTTCTTTTAGTAGTCTAGAAAATTGAATGAATGAATATCAGAAAGACTATAACTGCAGAAATACTCCTCAGTGAACTACTATAATTTTTTATAAAATTTCAACAGCACTCTGCCTGTTGTAATTGTGAATTTCATAGTCTTTCAACATTCATTATGAAAGGCTTTAATTTTGACCCCTCCATGCCATCACTAAATTATCAAGAACTTGTATATGTGGGTGTCTTGCCATGACATTCCTGGAATATATGAGAATAGCAGGGCAAACAGCGGAATGGTCCTGTATGAGTACTAGTCTAAATGCAATTTGGATTAATCCTTACAAAGAGTGGAAGGTAAATTTGTTAGTAACCTAAGGAAATTGATGAAACTGAGGCATTTTTATGAAAGGATTGCAATCATTACTGTAAAAATTACTATTATTATTATTTTTTGGTAGATATTTGTTCAGTCCAATCAAGGTGAAGAAGAAACAACAAGAATTTCATATTTTACTTTCATTGGTACTCCAGTCCAGGCAACAAATATGAATGACTTCAAACGAGTAAGTTTGTTGAAATTATATTTGGGGGAGGTAAAAATACAATGTTAAAGAATTGCCACCAAGAGTTTTATCAGTACAGAAAACAGGTGCTGTGCACAGATTAAATGTGCAGCAGCATAGGAGATGTAGTTATCGTCGTATTCCTGGTGGCTGCATCTGGCAGGCAGTCTAGAACTTGAGATGATTATAAAAGAGGAAGAGTTTTTCTAGGGTTGCCAATGCTTAGAGGAGGCACCCAGCCTAACAGTTTGACCCCTGTTTGGGTGGCATTGGAGCTGTGGAACACCCTGAAAGCTTTTATTTATTTATTTATTTTATGGTATCCACAGATCTAATTTTAATTCAGTTACAGAAAATTTCAAAAAAATGTATAACATTGGATGCCCTTATAAAGTTGTAAAATTTTAGCTGTTTTTACAAAATTTATAACTTTGACAATAGATAGTTTAACCGGTCATTTTACAAGTATAATCTTCCTGTCTCACAGTATAATTAATTTTTGGGAGCTGTATGAACAGTCATGTACTTAGATCGGTCATGTTAAATGTTTGACATGTATAATGTATAATGGCAGGTCAGAAGAAGCAGAGATTAAACATCTACATATTTATGATATGAAATGTACTGTACTGGGAAAATGTGTGATCATCAAAGACATTTTGGCTGCCTGCTTTGTTACTTTGCCTGTTTGAATTAAATGCCATTGGATTTAGCTTTAACTGTTTTTTACATAGTTTGTTTTTAGCTTAATATTTTCATAAGATCTATTACTCTCTTTTCTTATTTTCCCTTACTATTAATTCAGCTATATATTTCCTGCTTCTCACCTTAGCTTATGCTATTGGAGTTCGTTTTTACTCTCAGTAACCACTACTTTAATATTGTCTATCTTATTAGCCTGCCATTCATTAGTTTTTCTAATGTGCATTATCAATTGTCCACCTAAGAATCTGTCTCTACCTCTTCGTTTTTAACATCCCCCATCCCATCTCTTTTAGACTAGTTTTTCTGTTTTTGACTACCAGACTACCTTTTGTGGTAACAAAGGTGGTAGACTATTCTTGAGAGTATTTGTGTTTGTTTTATAATTTGGCTATGTGTTCATTTAACTAAATACCTTTTTTACCTTATTTAAAATTATTATTGAGAATAGTTCTCAAACTTTTTGGACTCAAGGATGCTTTTACGCTATTAAATATTCTTGAGGACCAATAAGACTTTTTGCTTCTGTGTGCTATACTTATCTAATAGTTACCATTTAAGAAATTAAAACTGAGAAATTTAAAAAATATTTATTCACAAATACATTGTACATTAGCAAAAATAATATTTTAAAATTGAAGTATATTTTCCAAAACAAAAACCAGCTTAGTGAGAGGAAGTGTATTGTTTTCACTTTTATAAATTTTTTTACTGTTAAGCTTGGTAGAATTCTCTCTTCTGTTTCTGCATTCACTCACTTTTGCTATCACAGATTATATATCCTCTCGGGAACTCCATTTGTGTACACTTGTGAAACAATGAGAGTTAAAAATGCAGATAACAATGTAGCAATGAGAATAGTTTTTAGTTTAAAGACTCCCTGAGAGGGTCTCAGGAACCTCCAGCCTGGACCACTCTGAGAACTGCTGTGAGAATAATTTATTACTATAACAAATGGACTTCCTTCTTGGTGTTCTGGACTTCTTTCTCCCTGGCCTTTAATGTTTAATACATTTTAATTGGTTGAATGGTTTTCTTATGTATATTAATATTACATTACGTTTTCTTTTAATAATTTCTGAGTGAGATTTGTTTGTATAGTTATTGTATAGGGTTATTTCTCAAAAGTAAGCTAATTTTATTTTATTTTTAAATATATATGGTAAGTCAACAACTTCAGTATAGGAAAATTATAATAGAATTAATGTCTGTGTACTAACTGAAATCTGCCAGTTTGGTCCTTGTATAGAGTTGCCTATTAAAAATGATTTTGGTTCCTAGTGAGGGAGCTAATTGACATGTGGTATGGTATTTGTTGTTTTTGTAGTACTGTGCTAGGTACAGTCATCCCTGTCTAGAGCAAATTTAGATAATATATAACATCTGGAAAGTCAATTAGTGTCTCAAAGCTTAGCTCAAGGCTCTCTTCCTCCACGGAGTATCCTTATACTTTACAATGATTGCTGGAAGAGGATGAGAGTATTTTGTGAAGGAAGAGGGCCTTGAATTAAACTTTAGTAGTAGAAATGGATGGAGGAGAAAACAGCAGTGGCACTCTAGGTAGAATGAAAAATAGGAATTTGGCATCAAAGTGGGAACGAGCAGATTCATTTTAGGACCAGTATCGTATGGCCCTTCATTCCCTTTTTTAGTCAGTCTGGATTTTAAAGGGATTATGCATAATAATTAGAATTTAAAATTTCAAAATAGATCTGGTACACATTTTTCAGCACAGAGAAGAAAATTTTGATACCTCTGTGTAGGAAAGGATGATATGAAATGGTTTAATGCATGATAAAATGAAATTATTTAGCATTTTCGGTTTACATTTTTATGTTGTATGAGTTGTTCCTAGATAATTTTAGTTTTCAGAATGTCATTGAACTTCTCCCTATGGTCAGTCACTAAGATGACAGAAGCTAAGGTAACGCTAATGAACCTTAGATGTGAGTAGAAATCTTACACCACCTTGCATGCTGTTACAACTTCATGAGGTTGTACCTTTAAGATTTGGTAGACTTGAACACACCTTCCATTTATCTGTTTTTGGCTCTTATAGGCATTGTGCACAGATTATAATATACACTTACGCTGTTTGCTGTTGTAAATGGATTCTGTGTGTTGCAGCATGAAAAGCTTGCCATCCTAATTGGAAGTAGATGTTTTCTTTGCTAAAATAATGCTCTTTACACCGATTGCTTTATTTTAATACAAAAGTAATAAGACATAAGTACAGAAATGAGCAAAATTGAAGGGGCTTGTGCTTCTTAGGGAATGAGGTGCATGCAAAAAGCAGAGCAGGTTTTCTATCCCTGTTATAAAAATAGACTTTTCTAAACTGGCCATTTACCGTATCAGCTATTTTTGTAACTTTTCTGTCTGTTTATTTTTCAGCTTTTTTAATCCAACTCAAATGAACTAAAACCAGAAGATTTTTTTAAAAATGAAGTAATATAAAGATTGACCTTATCTCACTCCACTCCCCTTCTTGCTTCTCTGCTCATCTTGCACCTGTCTGCTCTCACCCTTCCCATGTTCTCATCATTGTTGGTGCAGGATGTCTACAGCTTCTGTCATCTGGATCAGCCTTACTGTTACCTAAATTTCCTCAGCTACCTCGTTCCTCAAATCTCATTCTAGTCATGTTTCTCCACTGGCTTTTCATTTTGTTTTGGTTTTTGTTTTGGGCTTGCAACTAGGTGCTTTCATTTTATTACCATATTATGTTGTTCCCCCGAATTTTTGTTGTTGTTTTACATTCTCCTGTCTCATATTTAATTTTGTACTATCTTTGCGAAATAATATTGCAATAAAATATACATTGTTGTAGTTTCAAATTTAACTAGTTTTTGGATAATGTTTTAATCCAATCTGAAGTTTAAATTTGATTTTTTAGGAACTATAAAATCATTTTGGAAACCAAATATAAACAGTTTCATCAAGTTCTTTCATACAAATACTAGTGTAATATATTGATTAGGCTGTAGTTAAGAGATGTGGTTTTCTTCTTTTTTATCTCATTGAAACTGTGGCCCAGAAGTCATTTTGCTTATTAATTGTGGGTGTATCCTATGCTTTGCCTGCCCAAGCAAACTCAAGGCCAGTCGAAAGACTTATGGACTGAATATTAGGCTGGTTTAAAATATTAATATGGAAGAAAAGTGGACTCTTTACTGAATAAATACTATGGATACCTAATTTTAATGTACCTAGACTTTTGTTTCTGTGAGGTGTTAACATAAAGACTTGAAAAGAAATAAAAGAACTTTACGTTTGGGTAAGAAAATCCATATTGGAATGTTGCGTTTCTCTTTTTTTGCAGAGAGTACACATTGGCAAGTTGAGAGCTATCAACCTGTGAAACAGTATGCAGATTTGTGTCTTCTGTATCACATCTGCTAAAATGTTAATTTTTAATATTAGTTCTTTTTGGGGTTTTTTTTTTTGCTTAATCTAATAGCTCTGTGTTTTGTTTGTTCCCAAGTGATAACAGTGATCAATAATGCTTTCAGTGTCTATCTGCTTGTATTCATTTGTGATACAAATAGTTCCATCTCCTTTTTTAAGAAGTTTCCTCTTAGGTCTTAAACCTGAATTCCTTATTCCCATCCACATATTCTTTTCTGAAACTATCTCTTTAGCATCTGTCTGGCTTTTTGGACTTGCTGTCACATTGTTTCCTTGGATCAGAGAGGAATTCCTTTCAGGTGATAAAAGTGATTTTATTTGAAGTGGGGAAAACAGCAGTTTAGCATTAAGTGATTGGATATTCAGTGGAAGGGGTTTTATAGTCTTCTCTCATGGAAGACATTGACCCAGCCATGTTTTGTTTTTAGACCAGACATGTACTGAAGAACTTTTTGAGTTTTCCTTGATTCAGATGCTACCATTTGGAAGAGAGTCAATTTAAATATGAAATTTACTTTTACAAATGTATATAGAAATATTTTTGTATAAAAATACATATTTAATAGCTTGCAAGTAGATTTCTTTAAAGGTATTTCTACTATGAGAATACATTATTTAATGATAAACTTTAGGTTTGAAGTATATTATTCAATTAGAACATAGTTTTAGAACTTTCCCACAGAGAATTTGTTTTCTAGAACTGTTGGTAGTATAAGAAGAAGAAAAAGAAACACACAAAGAAAAAGAACTGTTGATAGGAAACAAGTTTATTCTTTGTATTTTTATGCTGCCACATTTATAGCAACTAGGACATTTAAACACCTCTCTAATAGACAATTTTTCTAATCATTGATAGAAACAAGACTTATTCTGTACATTTAAAAATATATATTTTATTGATTTCAGAAAGGAAGGGAGAGAGAGACAGAGACAGAGACATCGACATCAATGATGAGAGAGAATCATTGATCAGCTGCCTCCTGCACATCCCCTACTGGGGATCAAGCCTGCAACTCGGGCATATGCCCTGATCAGGAATCAAAACTCGACCTCCTGAGTCATACGTTGACGATCAACCACTGAGCCAAACCAACCACTGAGCCAGACCAACCAAGATATTCTTTACATTTTCTTATAGTACATTTATAGCCACCAGGGTTTCTGAAAAATAGAAACTAGGCAAAATTAGTCATTTTTAGTGTTTTATTATATGTCTACATATTGAGAGAAATGTCTAGAAATCTGTCATTTTGGACATGAAGACAAGTTTAGCATACTCTTTAAATTTTAGATTATTTGTGTTTGATTTCTAATTGTCTAAAAATAGTATGCCAAATATGTTTCACTCATATAGCATTTTTTATTTATTAACTTCTCTAAACTGTCAACCTTGTTTTGAAAAATTGCATTACTTTTTCTTAAAACGGTGTTGGAAACCAAAAATAGCCTGCATGTGGTTTATTTTTAATTCCTTGAGGCTGGAAGGGAAGGAGGGTCACAGTGTGTTTCAACAATGGAAATATACTGCATGCCAAACAAAATTCAGGGATAAAAATTAATGCCAGGTTTTAGATATGATTATCAATTAATATTGTTTTTAAATATTATTTTGAAAATAACCCACATTTCTAAATAAAATGTACATATAAAGTTATTTTTATTTTTCTAGGTAGTTGGCAAAAAAGGAGAAAGTCACTAAGATACAAAAGACACGGGAAGACCACATTGCAATCAGACCTACAGCTCCTGGATGACTGCTTGATTCTCGCCAGACTGTCACTATTCCATTCATTGCCATTACCAATAAATCATTGCTTTTGTTCCGATGATATCACTAGTGTTTCTATTGTAATCTTGATACATGCAATTGTAAATAAAAGTCACTACTTTTGCCAAGCTTAATTTTTGTCATTCTAAATAACTATTTTCACTTTCCACTTATTTGAAAATTGGCTGACTTTGGATTTTAGAAGAGACTTAAGTGTCAGGTAGCATATTGAACGAAAGCCAGTTTCTCCTTTTAAAGGAGCACAACTGTTTTGGGGAATTAAGAAATACATTTGCCCTCATATACAGACATACACAGCAGGTGATTTTGATAAATGCACTTGAAACAGCTAACCATGTTCAAATGAGTAAAAACTCATGTTTATTAAACTACATTTGGGTACCTGGGCTATAGAAATTACTCAAATTATAAAATACCAGAAATAAAACAAATTTAATGAATTTAACTGTTCTCACCTAAAATTTTTAGTCAATGAAACCTCATATTTTAACCCTTCCTGGGTAAACTTTAAAAATTTGACTTAGCCATTTCCTTTACTAACAGAGGTATGTTATAATTTGACAGTAGGGAAAATACAGAACTCAGAATTCATGAAACAACGTGAATTATTATCTTCTAGTCAAGTATTATTTTAACTACCAAAAGATACAATGTAAATATTCAGAAGATTTGGTTTAAGGTTGAAAATGAGTTGGCCAAAGGTATATGTTTAAAAGGTCTTTCACAAAAGGCTGGCAAAACAAAACATCTGTTCCTTATTATTTAACCCTTAAAACTATAAAGTATTGGTAAATATAATTTTTCAATTTATTTTTAAAATTAAAATGTAATATTTTAATTTCTCTAAATACGTAAAAAATTGAGTGTTTGAAAAGAGTACCTAAGACTAATAGTTTTTAAAAAAATTTTTATGTTTTTAGTGATTTCAGAGAGGAAGGGAGAGGGAGAAAGATAAAAACATCGATGATGAGAGATATTGATCAGTTGTCCCCCGCACCCCATACTGGGGATTGAGCCTGCAAGGCACGTGCCTTGACTGAGAACCGAACCAGCCACCTCTCAGTGCATGGCCTGATGCTCAACCACTGAGCCACACTAATAGTTTTAATTCAATTAATTAAATAGTACATTTAAAGACATTTTTGTCTAGGAATATGGTAGAGGTACCATTTTGTCTTTGTGAGACCAATGTGTTTATACATGTTTCTGAAAAGAAGTATGTATCAGTTTTTGTGTTAAAATAGTCACTTTCTGAAACCCCAGGGCCATTAGATAATGTTTAGTTCCTTCTAATGTAAGTACATTAACTGGTCTGTGGTAATGTCTATATCTGTGTATTTCATTTTTATGTTGCCTTGGGTCAAGTGGAGGCAGAAGGGCAAGAAATAAAAGCTTATAACATTCCTTAATATAGACTATCACAGATTAATCACATTTGAAGTTAAGGATTAGATTAATATTGAAATTCGTTCTACCCTTTGTACACTTCATCTTTTTGAATAATTGTTAAAGTGCCTATCTGAAGTATTGCTGACCTCTATTTATACTTGCCAATTTGAAAACTCAATGAAAGTAATTTCATATTTGTAAAGGATTGGGCATCAGATTTATATTGTTTATGTGACTTTTCTATAACTCAATTGGTTGCCTTATATAACCATTCCATAATTCAAGTTGTAAATAGGGAAAAATGAATGTTTATAGGTAACTGTAACATGTTTCACTATGGGAAGTTTTACAAATAAACATGCTTAGTTGACATTATTTAAATTACCAAGCTGAAATGCTGATGTTTTCTCCTAAAATAGTATGTGTGTATAGATATACACATACACATAGATATAACGTATATTACACTGAATTTTCCTGATGATTAAGAAGAGCATTTGAAAAATGTAACCCTAGTTATTTTAACTGAAGCTATCCATTAGATGTTTTGTAGAAAACTAGTAGCATTATTGTTTGTTTTGTTAGACTTGGGCCAAAAAATTCTCAAAACTTTTCCCTTGATTTTGCATATTTTGTTATTTCACATCAGGATGCATTATCTGATAATAAAGCAATAATGAAATATCCTGTCCATAATAGAACTATTTCAGGACAGAGTCTTTGCCGGCCAAAAGCTGACGGCAAGACTAGCACACAGGCTGCCACACTCATTCCTATGGCAGGCATTTATGATTTATTTTGCCCAAATTGTCCCCCAGGGTCATGGAGGTAGCCACTTAATTTGTTGGAGTTGACATGTGACTTGAAACCTATCTGTCATCTTTGTCTCAAGGCTTGAGGATGTATACTAATACTTTGCAGCATTTATAGGTATGCTGTTATTGTACACCTCAGCATTTTATGTATGGCTGCCTTTAATACACTTGACGGGCTTTTTTACCTAAAAAAGATTAGCTCTCCCCATGTTCTTCTTAATGTCAAATAAATCTTAATACTGGAACAAGAATAAAACATTGGAATTTAGAAAATTAGTCAACTTATACCCTATACTCTGTTAAGTTTTAAAGAATGAAATAAAATTAGGGCTACCCACATTGCTTGTATTTATATAGTTCAGTTTGATGAACCAAGTTTTGTGAAGGTATACATTTCTTCTGGAATTGGTCATTTCTAACCTTAAACAATTTTTTCTTTTAAGGAAAACTACCAATAAGAAAATTCATTGAATGCCTTTTAAAGGAAAACTTGGAAAAATGTGTGTTCACACAGCTTTAATACTTCATTATTAGAGGTGTTATTCTGCATTTTACCAAGATTTCCAAACAGTTTATGTTTTAGAATATACATATAGCATGTTTCTTAGGTAAATGAATTTTAAGATATTGAATATTTCATTTCCCAATTAATCCACTTGCATAAGGAGATATATTGATGTCATATTAAGCATATTTTCACATTGGGTTTTATTTTTAGATCAATACTTTAAGAAAAATATGCCCAGCAATATAAGAATAAGTGGTCAGAGTGAAGATATTCCAGGCTAGTAATACTACATTTAAACTTTATGGCCCATGCAAAATTATTAATTGGAGAATATGTAAATTATGCCCATACAATAACTTAAAATTTGGATATGCAACTAAAACTACACAGCTTGCAATAATATTAAAATCTTATATGTAACCCTAAACCTGCTAGAATATTTCTCCTTCCTCTACACTTGCTATGCTCTATGAGAAGTTTTATTTAAATTATGCTACTTAGTAGTAGGATCTTTGAAGTTTGAATCTCTGTTTCTGCTTGTAAGCTGTGTCACTTTGAGCAAGTGACATTCTTAGAAGCTTGACTTGGTCAAAATAGAAACATACCTCTTAGGCTTGTGAAGATTAAAGTGTGCATAACTTTGTGTTTAAAACAAGGATAAGTACTTTCCCTCTGTACCCTGCTTTCCCATCTCGCTGCCATTGTTTTTTAGTCTATCATTTGTTGTCTACACTAATAAAAGAGAAACATGGTAATTAGCGTACGACTGCTACCCTTCCCATTGGCTAATCAGCATATCCTTATGCAAATTAACTGTCAGCCAAGATGGCAGCCGGCAGCCATGC